AACCCAAACGGACACCTGAATGGGCGTGCACCTTTTGTACATTGTGCGTATGCATTTCGTATATATGTGTAATCGGGACCGAACCATCATCTAGGCTTAACCGGGGGGCCATATGTGAAGCCTGCATGCAACCCAGAGTACACACCTAAGGCGTTGACTTTAAGATCCGCCGTCTACGATGTTGCGAACAATAAGCCTTCAGTGTATTGAACTTGAATCCTGTATTCCTGGTTCGCGCTTTGCATCAATTTTGAGCACTTAATTTGTCCGCCAAAAAAAAATAATTACACGACGGAGCATTCCGGGACGCCGAAGGAATCTCTCTCTTTATAAAATCGCGTGTGTCCGAAGCCTTCGAACTCCGCCAGGAAATCAGCGAATTGGCGCTAGACCACGTAGCGCCACGTCCTCAGTCGAAGTGCCGGGGCGCTTCGGCGCCCCGGTGCGCTCTTGAACAAGCTATGAAAGACATGGGCGTGTCCAAGTTCCTTTGGAGGCGAAGACGGCCGATTATGACAGGAGCAAACAAAGCAGCGGCTGTTCGGATGAAAGTAACCGCCACTGGCCTCACCTCCATCCTCATGCTGCTTTAAAGTCGGCCTTTCTCCATAGTCTCTCCCCAATTCACCCCCCACCGCTTCAACGCATTTGCGACAATGGCCTTGACTTCACCTAGGGCCGTTTTCATTTTCCTATTTGCCTTGAATTGCGTACTCTGGTCTTCTAGCCGATATGCGCAGATCCCGCACTCGAGCTTTCTTCATGGCGAGCACGGTCTAGTGAAGAGAATATCTATGGAGCTCGCAAATCCCAGTGCTTTGACCTTGAGTGCCGGCGGAACGCAGGTACGGACTCACAATGCGGTAGAATAGTTCCCTGGCGCTGACGGCTTTCTAGTGCCGGCCTCTCGCATTCCCGGTCATCGAACAGTGCGCCCATGTGCAGGATCGTTGCCCACTACCACCGACATTCCTATCTATTCCATATCTCCACCACTATTACTGCACCGAAACTACGCTCAGGCCTTTGGTTTTTACAGGCCTCGTCCTCTGGCTCGTTTTTCTGTTCTCAACCTTGGGCATATCAGCGAGTGATTTCTTCGTTCCCAATCTTGCCACAATCGCACAGATGCTCGGTCTACCGGAGGACGTCGCCGGAGCGACCTTCCTTGCATTTGGCAATGGGAGCCCCGATGTCTTTTCTACCTTCTCCGCGATGCGGGCCGGCTCGGGGAGTCTCGCCATAGGCGAACTCCTCGGTGCTGCGTCGTTTATCGTTTCTTGCGTCGTCGGTTCGCTGTGCATTATAAAGCCATTCCAACTTCACCGGGCAGCGCATTTTTTCCGTGACGCTGGCTTCATGTTCATGGCCGTGGCTTTGTTGCTGGTGATATTGTGGGATGGCAGCATTCGCTTCTGGGAGGCCACCCTGATGGTTGCCCTCTACGTTGTATATGTAGCCGTCGTAGTCTTCGGATCGTGGTATGAACGGAGGCAAGAGAGTAGGAGGGCGCATGAAGCCATGGTGCGGTCGGAGTATGACGACTCGGAGATTTCACCTGCGAGCCCTTTCCAAGAACGCTATACAGACTATCGTGAGTGGAAGTCTTCAGTATTTCATTTCTGCTCACTCCTTCGCAGCCAGCCCCTCACCGTCTCCGACACCGAATTCCGTACTGGTGACCCCATCGCCTTCCCGGGCCCGCGCTATCTCGGCGCCTGGAGCTCCGCCCAGACTAAACACAGATCTCCCCCGGCGCTCTCACTCACGAACGCCGTCCCCGTCTCCTTCTTTCGGGCCCATGCCGTCGTTTTCGCTTGTGGGTGCCCTGGAGTTTCGTCAGGTTGTTGCATCCTTGCAGCACGAAGCCGCAGGATCCTCCCTCAACATCTTCGACGGCCCCTATACCCCGTATGCAGGTGGCCACTATCAGTCTCTGAGGTCAAGGTCACGGACCCTTAGCCGCGAGATAGATCCCTGGGATGCTGCCCTCGGGTTGCCTCTCGACGAGCGTTCGCACCCACGGTTGGTGCTGACACCTGCCCTAACCGAAGAGCCCGAAGGCACCAGTCCTGGGGAAGGCAGAAGTCGTTCCCGGGGGACCTCGGTTCCTTCTATTTCACGAACCCCTGCCTCTCCCACCAATTCGGACGCCGACACCGAGTCGCAAAACTTCCAACCTCCTACTTGGCGGCAACGCCTACTGTATGTTCTTACGAACGTCTACGACACACTTTTCCCATCCCTGCAACGCTTCCGAAGTAAAACCGTTCTTGGACAAATTGCTTCTGTATTCGCTGCCCCGGCTGTCATGCTCCTCACGCTCACGCTGCCGGTTGTCGTTACACCGTATCAATCGACTCACCATTCACGCGAGAAGACGCCCCGGGAGGAGGAGGCCAATCTCATTGATTTCGAGGAAGAAGGGATTGAACGAATATTGATCGCGGAAGAAGAGGTCGCCGAAGACATGCACGGGATGTTGTACAGCAAATGGCTGACAGCTGCCCAGTGTACTTTCGGTCCCTTGTTTTGTGCTGCAGTATTGTTCGGTATGTGTAAATTCACTGTCTGTTGCTGTCCTCAACAGCTCCGTTCCAGGTGCAAGCAAACATCAGCTGTGGGCGTTACTGTCTGCGGGGATCGTTGGCTTTTTAGCATCTATTCTCGTCGCTCTATTTGCGGATAGTGGCGAACATCCCACGTTTCGCATGACTCGTTGTTCCATAGGCTTCTTCGTTGCTGTCGTATGGATCATGGCTATCGCGGATGAGGTGGTCAAAGTGCTCCAGGTATGGCTCAGAAACATCTCCGTCTGCCACCACCGTTTGACACGGAACCCTTCAGACCTTTGGATTTATCTTCGGGCTCTCGGATGCGATCATTGGTCTCACCATCTTCGCCATTGGTAACTCCCTCGCCGATTTGGTCTCTAATATGGCTGTGGCAGTAAGCACTCATCTTCGCGAGAGCTTGAAATGTGCTGATAAACCGTCTAGGTGTTTGCTCCGATCATGGGCTTTTCTGCCTGCTTTGGCGGACCCATGCTGAACATCCTACTCGGAGTGGGGATCTCTGGATCCTATATCATCCAGCAGACTTCGCAGCCATACGAACTTGATTTCGACAATACGCTGCTGGTCAGTACCGTCGGGCTCCTCATCCTGCTGGCCGCCACGCTCATCGTGGTTCCACTGAATGGATATTTCTTGACACGGACTTGGGGGGTGGTACTTATTGCGTCCTACTGCGTGATAATGGCGCTTAATGTTTTTGTCGAGGTCAAAAGTTAAATAACGTAGTACATATGTATGTCAAACTGTACGGATAATCGAGGACTGCCGTGGAAGCTGATGGAAGCGGGTACATACACGTGATTTGCTATATAACCATTGCGTCTACTTCCATGTCGGACGAAGTTGCAGCTCCCGAAATCCAGATAAACGTCAAAGGTTCTCCTTTTCTTGGGCTTATTGTGACCCTTCCTAATCTACCCCAGGTCCGAGTGAACTGAAGCTTCAGATCACGATCACGACCGATAAAACTGTCCTCGAGCTCAAGCAGGCTATCGCGGAGAAGTCAGATGTGGAGGCGGAGAGGCAACGTCTCATATACTCGGGTGAGGCCAGGCCAACCCCCACCTCGTATGCACAAAATTAATAAGACCCTCCAGGGCGAGTGTTGAAGGTAATTGCTACACGAGAGTTTGCTCCACAGCGACGCTTACGAATCTGTCAAGGACGAAGATTTATTGTCGGTCTACAAGATCCAGTCGTCCCACACGATCCACATGGTCAAGGGAGCGGTTCGTTCCGGTGCCGCTTCGACTTCATCACAGGCCGCTCCGCCGCAGCAATTGCCGACGATGCAGACCGGGCAAAACCCTCATGACCCGTTGACGCTGCTCAATAGTCACCAAGCTTTCGGTGGTGCTCTTGGCGGTTTCAATCCATTTGCAGACATGGGGATAAACCAGAACGATCCCAACATGGTGTGTCTTACATTCTGTCGAAATCGACAAGACAAACTAAACATATATTCCCTAGTTTCAAGGAATGATGAACAATCCCCAGTTCCTTCAGCAAATGTCGGCGATGATGTCGAACCCTGAAGTAATGGAACAGATAATTGCATCTAACCCACAAATGGCGGGAATGGGGCCCGAGGCACGCCAGATGATGCAGAGTGAACACTTCAGGCAGATGGTGTACGTCCTCTTTCCGACACTCGAGTCGACCCGCTGATTTCCTGCTCAGATCGAGCCCGGAGAACCTGCAACGAATGCTCCAGATGGCGTCCATGTTTAATGGAGGCGGCGGCGGTGCTCCTGCGTTCCCCGCTCCTGGTATTCCCGGCTCCACACCTACTACCGGTGCCGCGACGAGCCCTCCGGCACCCGCCTTTCCCAATTTCTTCCCAACCGGCGCACAGCGTCCCGCACTGGACCCAGCGTTCCTCAATCAGCTGATGGCCGCAGGGATCCCCATGCCCCCTGCAGCTGGGACTGGTGCAGGGGCGGGCGGAGCAGCGGCACCGAACCCAATAGACCCCGCCATCATGTCCCAATTTTTTGGCGGAGGGGCGCCGCAACCACCGGCCGACTCCCGACCGCCCGAGGAGAGATTCCAGGTTCAACTGCAGGTGCGTCCCTTTTGCTCTCACTATAGTGCGAAGTACTCATCCGAAGCCCTTTTTTTAGCAACTGCAGGACATGGGATTCACCAATGCGTCTCAGAACGTGCGCGCTCTTCTCGCGACGGGTGGGAATGTGCATTCCGCCATTGAATACATCCTCGGCGGAGGTGGGATCTAGGGTGTGTGCAATGGCCTTGGCGCTTCAAGCATCTCACTTTCGTAGCAAGTGATTCTTCCCTCAATCATCAAGTAATGTAGAATATCTTGGGTAGTCTGATGTATTAGTCGTAGGCGAACACATTCTTAGTTGTGGAGGTCCGGCTCAGGTTGGCCCTAGTATAGCTCAAAGTTGCCTTGTCCCTCATCCGACTTTAGCTCAGTTGGAAGAGCATCAGACTGTAACGGTTACCTGGAAATCTGAGGGTCGTCTGTTCGAACCAGACAAGTCGGATTCTTTTGCTTCCTTGAAGCCCTGAACCGTGGTGAAAGACTTTCTCCAGCGCTTCTATGTTTTCCAAATTCTCCAGTACGTTGATTGTGCGTAATTATCTACTTATGAGAATACAATTTTCCTATGCGAATACACGTTTCCTATGCGAGTACAAACTGATGCATGACAGCCAAGCAATCCTATGCAAATGCGGCAAACCCTGTCGGCTGTTTTGGGGTCGCTGGCATAACACATTTGAGCAGACAGCCAAGGGCATGCAGACGTCGATGCGAACCTCTTTTCTGCAGTCTAGCGAGATTTAGTTTCGTTTCCAATTCTCGTTGAAGTTGGTTTTGCTTCCGGATCTCTTCGTCTGCGCGGAATGTGAGGAAGGAGACCCACACATGTGAAGGATATGCCCACCGTTCTCTGACGCGGCCGCGACCCGTTGATTCTGAATAGCTGCGAGGCGTTTCTGGGCGGCGAGGAGCTGCTGCGAGAGGATTTGTTCGTCCCGCTTGGCATTGGCCGCAGCGAGGCGGGCACTCTTAAGCTTCTCGAGCTCCGTATTGTACACGAGTACAGAAAGACTGGCTATCAGGGCACGCGCAGCGGGCAAGGTGATGCGCGGCGCGAGAAGTTTCTTCGCTTTTGGTAGGGGCTCCGAGGTGGCCTCCTTCGGATTGCGCGTCCTCTTGGGTTCTTGGCGAGCGGGGGCAACAGCTGGCTCTGAAAAGCATACGTGATGGGAGGACGATGTCTGGAGCAGTAGGTGCGTCGTACCGTCGTTTAAAACCACGATGGGAGGGGCGGGACTGAGCCGCTGCATGAGCTGGTCGGGGAAATCAGAATCATCCGAGTCCAAGTGGTTCATGGCTGAAAGAAGCTGAGTTGCACGTGGCCGCGAGGGCAGAAAATGATTAAAAAAAATTGAAAAATGCGATTAGTGTTACATATGTCTCTATCTATGCGAATACACGAATACAGCTGGAAAGAAAAAAGTTATAGCGAGGGCACTTCAGTTCGGTACGTGTACAAATTCAACGATATTCCATGTTTTGACGGCGAGCCCGCTGTGATGGACGGGTCGGGTCGAGTTGAGCAGGTTTAGAAAACCTGTTAGCGAGATTTACAGGCAGAGAGTTGAGCGGTGGACGAGTCGGGGATGGATGCGTCGCTGGAACAAGTGGTGCGGGTGCGGGTGTATCATCAAACGGAAAGCGGGAACTGGAGCTAAAGGGTTCGTCTACAGCAATGCTGCTGGAAGAGAAGGAAGACGAGAAGCTGGGACTTGGGGCAGGGCGGAAGCTTGTGTGTAACGTGTTGGATCCGAAGGGCGCTGCTTCAAGTTGAGGGCGAAAAGTCGATGCAAAGGGAGTATGCTGTTGCGGAACAGGATTCGTCGGAAAGCGTGACACAGCTGAGTTGGGGGTGCCGAAAGAGACTGAAGGGCCAGCAGGGGCCACTATCAACGTTGGTTAGAGAAGTCGCGAAAACGAGGATACCGGTTTCGTACGTTGGCTAGAGAGTCGGGAGAGCTCGACCTGGAGCATCACTACGTGAGACTTAGCCTCTTGCAAGGCGAGAGCACGTTCTGCACATGGTTGTGAGGTGAATATGCACATGTTTAGCGCATATACTCACTCTGTTTTTCTTTATCCGCGGCCTCCTGAGCCTGTACGACGGCCAGGCGGGCTTGTTGCACTTCAAGCTGCTTATCTGTGTTGCGGGATGTCTGTTGAACAGCCTGCGCGTTGAGTCGAGCTATAGTCAGATTGGATCGCTGTATGTTTGCGACAAGCGTTGTAACTGAGGTAATCGTTTCTTGTGCAGCTGGCTTGGTGATGCGACCTGCACTGCCTTTCGTCGTCGTCGCCGTCTTCTTCTGCTTCTTCTTCTTCTTTGGAGTAAGCGCGTCGCTGTCATCGGAATCGTCGGCGTCCAAGGCCCTTCTCTTGGCTGTCTTTGACGCCGTTGGCGGGTCCTGGTCGTCGTCGTCGTCGAGCATATCTACATCGTCGTCTGAGCCCAAAAAGGCATCGGTGGTGGGCGACATGGTGGTTGAGAGCAAGCAGACCGGAGTTTCAATAAACACGACCACGTGATCTCAACCCAACTTCATCATGTTGAACATCGTAGTACACTACAGGTCATCCAGCCCTAGCGCCTCCCACTCGTCAACCCCTGGAACCTTGTCACCTTTTTTTACAGCACGCAGTTCGGCTCCGTTGTCGATATAGTTGCTCAACAGCCGAGTTAGGGTGTCGGTCTCTTCCGAATCGAATATATTCATGGCAGAAGCCTTGAGACAGCCCGTCATAAGGGGTATCGGTGCAATTAAATTTCAAGTGGCTTACGGCTTCAAAAAGATCTTTTGTTTCGCTCTTGAGGTCTGTTGGCACGGCTGTTTTTGCCGGTTCGTCATCGTCGTCTTCGTCCGGCGCTCCAGTGGTAGGTTCGACGTCCCATCGGTTGATGCCATTGGCAACATTGGAGCGCCCCGCACGCTTGTCCTTGAAGGAGCGAGTTTCGGCCTCCTTGGGAACGGACTCTTCGCGTTTCCGTGCCATCTTGACAAACGTAGCGGATTCGATGCACTCAGCCGAAAGTGCATGCCGGCGCACGGCGTCGACGGAAGCAGCATCCCTGCATTGAATTTGTTAGCAGAGATTATTAAAAACAATGTGTCAATGCCGACTTCAAATCGCCCGCAGGGCATTGGTAAGTGACCATGCCAGCAGTGTCGACCTTTATAATCTCCAGTTCGAGATCGTCCCATTCGGAGTGGTTGTAAAGGCTATGTGCGACAGCGTCAGGAGTGTTCTATGGGACGAAGCGGAGCACTCACATATGCCGTTCGAATTTTGAGATGGTCGTCAATATAGCCTCCGGGACGGGATCGAGATGGATGTAAAGGGCGCAGCGAGGGCATTTGTAGCCTGGCGAGGTCCCTGCGGCAACGTCCGTGTCCGACACCTGTGTCAGTATTGAGTGGGATGAATAGCAATCAACGTTGTAAGCTTACCTTGAATTTCTGATAGGCCCGAGCCGCTATGACTGGTTGTACCAGGTATTCAAACATACAGCGTCGCAGCTCTTCAACAGGCATCCCCAACACATCGTGTTCCTTTTGCTCGTCGACATCGGGCAGATCAGAAGACGCGGCGCCGCCACTCAGATCTGCGACCTCCTCCGCATCGTCTTCATCCTCGTCCTCGTCCTCGTTCTCGACGACCTTGTTTGCATCAGCGGTGGGAGGGCGGCAAAGGGACAACTCGGGGTAGCGGGGCTCATGGTCATGCGGTCAAAAAAGGCGACAAGCCGATCGTGCTCGTCTTCTTGCAAGGTTGTAGTGGGCCCATCTTGAGCATCGAGAACCGATAGTGCAGACTGGGCTTTGCGAATGTTCGAAGCCCACGATTTCACGCTTTCGAGGTCGGTCTTGGTGGGCGCCGCTGCTCGAGCTGTAATAAAACGGAATGATTTAAAAAAGAAATTGGGTTTCCAGAGCCGTCACGCACCCATGGCATCATCTACCGCTTGCTGGATATGGAGCGAGGGGTTGTTACTCGCCAACGCCTGAACGACGAGCTCTCGTTCTTTGGCGTCGCCCGTCAGAGGACCGGTGACCAGCTCGTGATTCAGTTTGTTGGCATTTCCAGCCTTGAAAGTTCGCATCTCCTTCTTTTGCTGGTCTAGGAAATTCTTTTCTGCGGTGAGAAAAGTGTCGCGCAACTGAGACAGAGAAATGGAGATGAGATGAGGGATAAAACCAAAAAAAAAAAAAAAAACGGACCAGAGTCACATTGACGGAAGTCCAGCCGACTTTGAATGCGACCGGGATGCTCTCGCCTTTGGGTGGCTTCTTGGATCCAGTTGCCATCAGGAACAGTCGATTAGCCTGAGGAGTGCCCATCTGATACCCTTGCGCCGTCAGATTGAAGCAACGCAGATAATTGGTCCAGGCAGCGACCCTGGTTTGATGGAGTGGTTTCATCGGTAGTTTTTCCTATAAGGCACGATTAGAAATGGTTAGCGAAATAATTGGGGATGGGGACTCACGATGAGCTTCCTTTTGTACTCCTCTTTCAAGTCTACGGCCTTTACCTGGGAGTTTTCCTCGGCATCAGGTGCCTCTCGACCCTGGCGCACAAGGCACTCCACGGCAGCGCTCATGAACGCATGGCTGGCATGGTTTTCCTGATGAAATGGTATGAGCGGGGCACGACAACTAGGCTGACGGCATTGGGACCTTGCTTTTTTCCCCGGCGCTGGTCTCCTCCGTCCCGGCAATCTCGGAAAGACGTATCCTGACGAGGTCAAAATTTGCAGTATTGCGGGAGTAGGAGTCACGGAAAGGGCCGTCAGGAGTATGGTTAAGCACATCCTTTGCAATCCGTGCTCCCATTTGCAAGGAAAACTGCGCCAAGAAATTGGTGACTTTAAAGGAGATGGCGGAAATGTATAGACTGACGATGTTGCCGGTCTCGCGGCGAATCGCCGTGTATCCTACGCGCGGGAGCCCGGTCTTTTGACACGAGTGACGAAGTGCCTGATAGGCAGAACGGGCTGTTGCAGCCTGTTCGGGGACGGCAAATTCACGTCCGCCTGGCGCACTTTCAAGAAAGCTAGTTGTGGGCGAGGGTCAGGAATAGGTAATCGCAGGAAAAGCGCCGGCACGCACAGTGGAGTATCTTTAAACTCGGGATCAATCTCGAGTTCGGCCGAATGGTCGTCAAATAGCTCTTGAGGTGTCTGTGGTACTGGTGAGTACGACTAACAGCTAGTAGGAATCATTTGACCTTGTATTTAACTTTAAACCTTCCGAGCAGGAAGAGATGGCTCAGAAAGGGAACGGTCATGTCGAACATGATGTTGTGGGCTAGCAATACGCCAGGGATTTTGAAATTTTGCTCAACGCCGATGGCGGTTGCAATGTGATTCTGTCTCGAGGGTAAGACGCGAGCGAAGGAGCGGTGCTGTATTTATTTACTTTGTGGATTTTCATACGAAATAAGATT